GAAGGAAGGAAGGAAGGAAGGAAGGAAGGAAGGAAGGAAGGAAGGAAACTGGTAGTCCTCTTCCCTCTCTGGCACCACTAGAAACCAGTTGCCCTCAGATCCTCACAACCTTTTATTACACCCCCCCCCCGGCACCCACCATTCCTGCTTTCATGGTTGGGCAGTGGCCGCTTGACTCCATCCTGCTGTGCTGTTTTCCCTCTGACTCTTGAGGTGTCTGTCACGCATCCACTCCAAAGACCCCCATGCTGTTATCACAGAAGAGAATAAGGTACAGGGAAGATCCAGATCCCTGAGAGTGGAGCCACCAGTGGAGAGTCTGCAAGGAAACAGGATGGGGGGGGGGGAAGAGAGGAACAGACAGTGGATCAAGAGGAGAAAAAAGAAAAGGAAACTGGCTTACACAATCGACTGTTTCCGGCAATCTGAGTTGTGCCAACTGTTGCACACTGGAGCGACAGCTGAGATGTGCCTTCTGAAAATGTGTGTTCACTATGATTGTTCATTGTGGGCTCAATGAAACCCTCCGTATTTGATAATGATTATTCTCTGAGAGTGCTGTGGCAAGAGAATGTTCTAGATTGTGCTTTCTACTGCTGTAATAAACACCATGACCCAAAGCAACTTGGGGAGGAAAGTCTTTATTTCACCTATGGGTTACACCATGGAGGAAAGCCAGGACAGGAAATGCAGTATCATGGAGGTGCACTGCTTACTGGCTGCCTCCTCAGGCTTATATTTATCCTCCTTTCTTACGCCTCCCAGGACCACTTGCCTGGGGATGGTACTGCCCACAGTGGGCTGGGCCCCACATCAAACGTCAATCAAGAAAATGCTCCACAAGTTTATCTACAAGCCAATCTGATGAGGCATTTTTCTCTGTTGAGGTTCTCTTTTCCCAGGTGACCCTGGTTTGTGTCAAGTTGACAAGATTTTTTTTTTTAAATTTTATGTATGTAGGTACACTATGGCTGTCTTCAGACACACAGGAAGAGGGCATCTTATCCCACTACAGATGGTTGTGAGCCACTATGTGGTTGCTGGGAATTGAACTCAGGACCTCTGGAAAAGCAGTCAGTGCTCTTAACCTCTGAGCTATCTCTCCAGCCCAAGGCAAGATCTTTACTGAAATGATCAAATTAAAATGAGACCACTTTAGCAGGTTCTGATCCTTGCTATTCTTGTTAAAAGGGGGATTTTGATGCTACTACTTTTCCATAGATGATGTCTTAGTTGCTTTTCTATTGTGAAGACATCATGACCAAGGAAAGTTCTAAAAGAAAGAGTTTATTGAGGGCTCTCAGTTCCAGATGATGACTCCATGACCATCATGGCAGGGAGCATGGCAGCAGGCAGGCATGGTGTTCGAGCAGTCACTGAGAGCTAATATCTTGAAACAACAACCATGAAGCAGAGAGAGAGAGAGCGAGAGAGAGAGCTCTCTAACAATGAATGGCTTTCAAACCCCACTACATCTCTTACAACAAGTCCACACCTCCTAATCCCTCCCAAATAGTTCCTCCAGCTGGGGTCTAGGTATTCAAACATGTGACCCTATGAGAGCTATTCTCACTTAAACTTCCACAGACGGCAAAGTGCCAAATAAAATGCAAGGTAACATTTTAACTTGACCATTCCAGTGGCCTGTCTCGAATTCAGGGATGTTCTTCCCTATTGTAGGGAATGAGACTGTTTTATCCCCTGGTCTGTTCCCTGTCATGACCGTTTATAGTAACTGTCAACTTGAATCACCCTGAAGACAAATCTCTAGGCTTATCTGTGGAAGGGCTTCTACACTGGGTTATTTGAGGTGGGACAGCTGGATGTGAGCAGTGCCACTTCATGAGCTAGGGTCTGGCTGGGGCTGGATGAAGAGGAGGACTCAGGTGAGCATCAGTGCTCTCCTGCCTCTGCTCCGTGACTATAAACGTAATGGAACCAGCTGCCTCTCCAGGTCCATCTCTTCGTTCAAGGCCAGCTTTATCTACAAAGTAAATTACAGCTAGCCAGAGGTACATAAGGAGTGCCTTTCCCAAAACAATAAAAATAAATCTCTTCATTAGCAACGGACAGTTACAAATTAGGAGTATAAACTGATAATACTGTAAAACAGTAAAACACAGGGCCGTGTGGCTCAAGGTGTGGGTAGGACCACAAAAGAGATGAGTCTTGAGAAACGTATCTGGAGAAGTGAAAGAAGAAAGAAAGAGTTCTCCATCTAAAGTACAAACAACCATTGGTTTTTATTTCTCTTCTGGTGGGTAAAGGAGTCACAAAAGGTTGTTGATGTGTTTGAAGGATCATGGGAGTGTCAGTCCCCAAAGGATCAAAGCAAGGCTTTCATTAGGAAAAGACTTGTCAGAACAGATAAGATAGGCCTGAGCACCGGGCTCCCGCTGACACAGGAGGTACTGATCTGAATATCATCCAAGATGGTCATGTTCCTCAGGTTGCAGGCAGTCCTGGTTGCACAACCCATGCTGTGTATCTTGACAGGGTATTGGTTTCTTGTTCCTGCTAGTGAAAAGGCCCAAGCATCATTCTTTCTCCCCTCCTCACCTGCATCCTTTGAAAGGAAACTGTGCTCAGAATGGTCCAGAGTCCACAACTCCCGCCTCTGTGTGAGATCATGACACAGCTCCAACTATGTAGAAGCTGGGCCTTCTTGTCCTCTGGCCCCACTGTCTCTTCAGTACAGAAGGAACCTTAAAAGGACTCCTGTGTCTCAAACACAAGACTAACAATGAGGCCTCTGGGTACCCGTTCAGTAGGAGAAGCGTTTAATGCAGGTGAGGATGAAGGCCAGATACAGGGTCTCAATTGTTGACTAAAACCCTTCAGATGGAACCTGTCTTCCCCACCCCTTTTTCTTTCCTTCTCTACCTGAAGGAAAATACTGTGGCTCTCTCACAAGCTGACATCCTTCTGAGAGCTCTGAGCTCCCTCTGAGGATAACTATAGAATGCACAGGACATCTCTTTCCAAGGTAAACTGAGGTAGAAGCCTGTCCCACTTTGAATCATCTTTTGAATTCTGTGACACCCCATTTTCCTCATTCATGTCAACTCATCCAGACAAAGGACCCTTCCCTTGCTTTCCCCAGGACTTCTGTCTGTCCAAATTCTTTCCCCAGGACTTCTGTCTGTCCAAATTCTTTCCAAGTAAAAGTGTAGCTTGTCCCATCGACTCCCGGTCCACCACTTAATCGGCAAAACACCACTGATTCTCCGGCTTCATGAAATTTTCCATATATTGTTCAGGAAAGAGTTGCCAGCCCCTTCCTCTGGCTGTGCGTTCCAGAAAGAAAACTCCTACAGTTGTTTGCCAAGTTCCTGTCTCAATGGCAGGCCCTGTCAGGAGTCATCTAGGAAAGGCTAAGGTTAGTCAATGACTGTCATGAACTTGGCCCGGTTTTTTTTGTTTGGTTTTGTTTAATAAAGCACAGAGAGTTATAAAATAAAGATACAGTACTTATTAAAGCACAGAGAGTTAAAGAGAAAAGAAGCCAGAGGTTTTCAGCCACAGAATAAACAAGAGAGTATTAAGTTTCCAAAAGCTCTCAGCTTCTAGCCCCCAATACAGTTAGAGAGAGTTAGAAGGCTGGAAGTCCTCAGTCTTTTGACCTTCATCCAATGCTGTGTTCCACCTCAGCTCTGACCCCCAAAAGACCAGGGCAAGATCCTTTATAATAAATATATAATTTTCTCTTAATAAAAAAAAATATGTTTTTCTAAATTTAGAGTGACACCAGGTAAAAATTGAAACTCACCAGAAACCACAAGTGAGCTAGGAAACAGAAACTGACAAAGGAACCCAGCACCCTGGAAACACCCTGAGCCAGGCCCACGCACCTGGCCATTCTCAGGTTACAGAGCGACACATACTGAGATATAACAAATGTTTGCTGTTTTCAGTTGCTGCATTTGGCATAATTTGCTACATAGTGATGAATGACTTGCTGTGCCCTTAACAAAACATTCAAGGGAATAACCATACCTCTGCCAGTAACCTCAACACACATCGTCTCCTCCCCCGTGCACTTTAGGGAAACTGGGCTACATCTGCCACGGTCACTGAAGCAGGCAGGACATTCAACACCATTGGGGTCTGAAGATAATGGAGACACTGAATGGAGAGAGAAAAGTTTTCATCTTGGGAAGTAGAAGGAAGAAGCAGCTGAGAACATGTCTATTCACTGCTCATCTAATACAGGTTGTTTTTTCCACAATTCTACCAAAAAACGTTGCAGTGAAGGATGAGCAGGAGGAAAGCACTGGGTGTGAGCGCCATGGAGGACCTCTTGGGAACTCAGAGCCATCCTCACCTTCATCAGTTACTCTGCTCTCCGCCTTGGAGGGAAAATCCTAGATAGTGGGAGAGGATATGTTTTCTAAAAGGACGCTGCTCAAAGGGTGAGGGATGACCCAGGTGTGTTCCACACACACCTATGCTCCCAGCTACTCCAACTTTGGAGGCTGAGGCAGGAGGGCTGCTTGAACTTAGAAGTTGAAGACAAGCTTCCAAAACACAGCAAGACTACTTCTCAACAAAACAAAACTGAACCTGGGGAATTAAATAGGTGAGCAAAGGCTGTTGGGCAGAGGGGCAGAGCAAAGAGTTAAACCTTGAGACGGACATTAGAGAAAATCCCCAAGACCAATCCCTGCCATCTAACCCCCACTCAGTCTACCTCACAGGAGAAGGGCCCATGTGTAATTCAAACCATTTCCAAGGAGCGCTACACACAAAGGAAAGACAAGCATCAGTGCTGTGCCCCAGCACAGTGAGGTGAGCCCTCAGAAAAGCAAAGGAGACACGGGGCAGATAGTGGAGGTACAGAAACAGCTACACTCACCCTTAATGCTCCCTTGGTTACACTGGTCAGTGAAGCAGCACCGACGGTCGTATCTAAATGTCCGACACCTCCCCAGTGTTGCGGAGAATGCTAGCTCAGTACAGCTGTCTTCAGAACAGCCTGACTGCTCAATTGCTTGAGGTACTGTGAAACAAACCGCCCCACCCCGAAAGAATTGTTCTCTTCTGAGACACAGAGAGGATGAAGCATCCAGTGGTAAGGAGTCTGTCCCTTCATTCTCTCTGTCTTTACGTTTCTTTACTCCAAGAGTTCCTCTGTGATTGTCCCTCAGAGAACAAATCAACAGAGGGACAGTTTGGTGCAATGGGAACGGGACCCAGTGGTAGATTGTTCACTTAGCATATATGGTGCCATGAATTTGATCCCTAGCATGGCAAAAAAAAAAAAAAGTGTGGGCTCACTCTTCACTGTCCAGTAGCCCTGTGGGGATGATTTAGGAAACAGAACCAGGGCCTCTCAGCTCTATTCCTAGTGATACATCCAGTATCATCATCCCATCCCCACTACCTCCCAGAAGCCCGCATTCCCAGCTCCATCCTTGAAGGAGCCAAAGGTAAACTAGAAGACTGTGAAACTGAGGATGGGCTTACTTGGGAATTCAAATCCCTGCCGTTGGGAGAAACAACCTTTAGAGGATTCACACGTGCTTGGCTCATGATTGCATTGTTCACCAAAGCATGTTTTTCTTATGCAACCATAACTCTCTGCAAAGAGGAAATAAACATGTTCAGAAAGCTGTCCCAAATCTCTGCAGCTACCGACAACCTTTCCCAGGGGTCAAGGAGCCGTGAATGTGGAAGGGACTCCTGGAGGCTCGAGTGGTCCCTGGAATTCCCCTAAGGCTCCTTATTGCTCAACTCCCACTTTTCCCATCCTTGAAACAAAAGGTGCCCTGCTCCTCTTACCCACAGAGCTGATAGATAAGAGAGAGATGATGCAGCCAGCAAGGAGGCTCTTCAGGACCAAGAACCAGGACATGGTGACGCCCATAAACACTGCACAAGGGACAAGTAAGGACAGTAATCAGGCCCAAGGGGCTCAGCTTTTGTAATCCAGCAACCCAACTGCCAGGAAATACTGTCTGTTCCTGTTTTCATTCATTCATTCACTCACTCATTCATTCATTCATTATTCATTCTACAAGCTAAATTTTATCAAACACTGGCTTTATGCCACATGTGGCCATTTAGAAGCACGCAAAACTGGAAAAGACGCTACATCCATCATGAAGGTAACAAGGCAAGTACCATCCTTCCCTGGGAAGACCTTTGGCTCAGGAAGCATTCTTCTTGCATGGGTCTGGAAGGTACTAGATCTCCTTCCACTGCTGAAGTGTCCGAGTTGGTCAAGAAATTACTCCTCTGGGGAGCAAGTAGAGGCTCTTTATGTGCTAGAAAGTTCTGGGCCATTGTGTTCATTAGCCCTTTAGCTAAGGACACGGATTCACCACTTCCAAAGGCATCATTTCACAAAGAGCTGGCCCCTACCACCATCTGTCACAACCACACACTAGAAATGTTCACCAAGAATTATTCCTGATTTCCTGAGGAGAGAAAATCCAGTGTTCTCAGCTAGAAACAGAGGAGTGTCAATGACAGACTCTCTCTGTCCTCGCTGCTGCTGACTTCTTTCTATACCTAGTAGTCATTCTCTCGAAGGTTAAAACATTATAAATTAATAGAATCGTCACATGCAGCCAAATGCACTAAACTGCAACTGATCTCCCAGAGACAGAGACCATGAGGACAGCTCTTCCTGTGCCTCTGGTTGGCAGAGGAAGGAAGGGAGGGCATATCAAGGCCTCGGAGCCTCTGTGAGCTATGCAGGAGTCTCCTGTGTCCAAAAGTTATGAAATGCAGCTTAGCCATCGTGTGTGTGTATGTCTGGCATTTCCTCAAGAGAAACCCCAGCATTGCTGCAGTAAAGTCCCACCATCCCTTCCTTTCTCCTGGACACATATGCATCTCTGCCTGTGGGGGACCGTGTTTCTCTACATTTTCTTCCTCTTTCTGCCTATTTCTATGCTAAACTCTTGTTAGGACAGAAGCACTACATTTCTTTGCAATGGAGAGATACAATAAGCTAGGGGGACTCACATCCTCTACCTTCCTGCCATCATCCAGATTTCGATCACATACGCTCAGAGTCCAGGACTGTGTGCTGGGTGTGAGGGCAGTGAGGACCTTCCTGGGAACCCAACGTGCTGAGTGTGGAAGAAGGTGGGGGCTGCAGGAAGAGCACCATTGGGGATGTCCAGATGCCTTGGAAGTTGGTGTGTAGAGGTGGAGGAGGAGGGACGCTGGAATTCTGGACAAGGGAAAGGGTCCTGTTGCCCACACTAAATTGACAAGAACTTCAACAGATACAGAAGCATGTCCTTGGAGATGGTTTGCCACACCCCAGATGTCGGCAGGTTAAGATGACCTGATCCCTGATGAGGAATCCATTGTCCATTCCAAAGAGAACTAGCTAGGGAACAACCTACTTTCAAGGCCTGTAAGATGATGACCAGGGCTTGCTGGGCTGATTCCGATGGTCTTTCTAGAATTATGTCACCAGGGCCCCCTTGAATTTGCCAGCCTAGAAAGGAACCCCACCTCCCTGCCTTGTAGAGAGTTATGAGTTTCCTAACAACCTAGCCCCGAGCCACTTACCTTGATATCCTCTGCAGGACAATGTCCAAGGCTGTCCATTTCATTCCTCTCTTACCTGTTCAGATTATTAAAGCTTCTATTTCTGGACCGTATCTCCCTGACCAGCTGAGAAAGCTGGAGGTAGGGAAGGTTCCTGTAATGAAATGTGAGGCCAAGAGGGCAGACTTACAGCAGATGGGATGTGACTTCAGTTAACCTCAGCTGGGCTGTCACCCACTGCCAGTGGCCTGGATTCTACACCACACACCAGTCAGAAATATGCTTGCTCTGTCACTATGAACAGCAACCTGAGGCCACTGTCATTTATCAGTGAAGAACAAAGCACACCACCCCCACTGGCCAGGAACTATCCAATTGTGTGACAATTTCCTACTCCTGGGCCAAGGCATGGTCAAACCTCCATGGTAACAACCAATCAGGTATGTGCTAGCCTATGATCACTGTGCAGAAGCCTATGAGTGCTTTCTGGAGTCCTGGAGGATTCACCATCTTTGTTTTCTATCCCATGTGCATTTGGCTTCAGAATGGTCCCACAGACCCCCCCTCAAGGACTCTCCATCCCATGCTCATTGTTGAGACCAGAAACATCATACTTCAGACTGTGGCAGCCAACGGGGCATCTGCAGAGACCCAGATACCCAGAGATGACAGTCTTTCTAAGGCTGTGGTATCATCCTGTGATCTGACAGCCCTAAGTTACAGGTGAGCCTTTATCCAATGGGAGTCATAAGAAGTCTCTCTCCTCTCCATGGGTCTCCTCACAGAGGAATCTGATACTGGGCCTAGTGTCTGGAAGAGAAGAGGGCTGGGCTTCATCCTAAGAGATATCTGACTTTCAGAACACCGGAGCCAAGCCTGCTGAGAGGCAGGATATAAATTGCAGACTTCAAGATATAACTAGAGTTATTGAAAATCAGAGCTTAGGCTTGACAGCTTTAATCAGCCATGTCTGACACCTATTAATAAAGCCAACCAAACAAGTAAAAATAAAGAACATAAAAACAGAGGTGGATTCAATGTGGCCACACTGGGAAGAGGGACAAAGAGGTTTGGTGACCTACCTCCCAAGACTATCTTTAGGATCCTGACATGAAGTTAATGCTTAAGTATAGAGCCAGCTATGTGCCTATATAAGTAGTCCTGGCCAAATCAGGGAACCCCCCCCCCAATTACTCTCTAGGCTCCAATCTCTCCTGTAAGGCAATTTAGAAAATTATCAAAACTGTGAAATATTTCTATATTTCAGGAGACAGATCTACCTCTGGCTAAGGTCTTTGTCAGCACTAGATTCCTAGGGGACTTTCATTTCCTTGGTGGAAGGGGTGAACCTAAGTATCTCCTTAGAATGTCCTCTTTCCTGCCCAGCAGACCAGTTACACCGGTGTGTGTGTGTGTGTGTGTGTGTGTGTGTGTGTGTGTGTGTGTGTG